CAAGCTATTGAGCTTGGTGAACCACTTAAATTCTTATCTTCTTTATCGCTTCACTATTCATTTACATAGGTATCCCTCACACACAACACCTCATCATACAACTCAAACCTACTCCATGGTATAAATTAATTAACTAAAATGCATTCTTATAAGGGTGAGTTTCGAGTAGAAGGGAATTGGTTGGCTTTTGTGGTGGTTCTTGAAGCACGAGGATATTTACAGATTTGGTAAGGGGGAAAACAGATCCATGCCAAGCTTAAGCAAACGAATATTAATTGTGGGATTGTTGGAACAACTTTGTTGGATGTGTATGCTAAATTAGGTTATTTGGATTACTTTGATTTGATGTTGGAGAAAAATATTTTTTTATTATAGGCCATACACTTCGTGCTTTGGTTGTCAAACACTTAATTGTTAATGACGGTGGGTTGGATATTTTAGGTAGTGGTGGGGGCCATGGGTTGTTGGTGATAGAAGCTGCGGTGGATGTAGGTTGAATTATTTGATATTTGATGATTTTGGCCTTCATTATGTTAGATAAGGTTTATTTATGGTGGTTGGAGTTGGAATTTCTTTACCGCACTTTTTGCCTGCTGAGAAGAAAGAAAAAGAATTTTTTTTATCAAGGTTTATGTCCCTTCTGCTATTCAACATATGTACTCCATAATTCAGTTGGATATTTTTTCCCGCGTTTATAAATAAAGTAATCATTCGATATGTTTTATTGCTAGGTTGTGTTTGCAATTTGTTCGAAAACATATTGAGCTTTCAACACCAAAAAAAACATATTGAACTTTCGACTTTCGGTTTTGATTTTGTTAATAATAATTGTTCATTCATTTTTCTTGGCTTGTTTAATGTCTAAATACGCTTGTGAATTGTTCCTAAAACTGCATCGTGTACTCAGGGGTAAATAAAACTGTTGTATTTGTATTTTCTATTGTACATTTTCAGGGATGACACCAACTCAATTTTAAATTGCGATGTGCAATTACAGTTGCGTCGTGCCCTTGGGCACGGGTTAGTATAGATTGTTATGTTTGTTTTTCAGTTATGTTTAAAAAATAACGGGTTATTACTTGATTGATTTAATTTTTTTTAATTAAATGAAATAAATAATAACTTACATCAAATTAACTAGATTTGTATACATTTGTATTTTTGGGTATGGATTGCTGATTTTGGGGGATTGTTATATTTGTTTTTCAGTTCTGTATACTAGTTGATATTTTCATGGTCTCCTATTTTCAAAGGAAACCATGTCGAAATTTTGAAAAAATATCGAGTTATTATTAGATTGATTGATTTATGTGACAAAAAAAAGTTACTAGATCGATTTAACTTTATTTAATTAAGTGAAATAAAAAATAACCTGCATCAAATTAACCGGATTTCGTGGGTAAAGTGCCTTCATGCACGGTTGTCTGTCTTAGTTTTCTATTTATTTATAGATAAATAGTATAGATCAGCTTGAGAAAAAAAGGTAGTGTATATCCTATTTGGATTAGTTATACTATGCTCCCTCAAATTATATCATTTTTGTCGCGTAGCCCCCTCCATTATTAAAATTCTCGCTTTGTCCTATCAATTATTTGAATTGATTTTACACTACAAAAAAATACAAATGTATGTTATTTTTTAGACAAAAATATTAGTGTGTAGGGACAAAATGAAACAAAATCCCATAATTTGGATAAGAAAGTGAAATAATGTTCCATCAAATCTTAAATGGACGTAAATCCGCTTTGGTTTTCTTTTTGTGTCTGTAAGTTTAGTAAAGTGCGCCAAACACACGTGTGATTGATTTATTTTTATTAGAATTGATGCTTATTTTGATAGGTGGGTCCAGAATGGTGATTTTTGAGAGAATTTTGATTTTGAATTTTGATTATTGTTATGTCTGATTGTTAATTGTGAATTCAAGAGACTTTGAGTTATGTATACAAATTGTGAATTTTCTGGGCTTCTATTGTTCGAGGAATCTCTATCAAAGTAGCAATTGCCAACATATGTCAACCTGTCTATATTGATTTCAATTTTTTTAATTGTAGCAAATTAAAGTAAATTTTTTTTAAATAAATCGGTTGATTTACATTGCACCGTGTCTTCAGGCACGGGTTATCCCTAGTTAAGTAAAATTTGGATCACAAGATTTCCTTAACAATTTAAATTCAGTAGTAATATGATACAAGCATAGAATGACATTGTAGCATGACTTTATATTATTAATATCCTAATCAGCATATGCTAAAATGATTCAAAATCACCAAACGTAATAGATATGAAACAACGATCAATAATTAAATTCAAAAGTAACATGAACAATGCCACTCAATTAGCCGATGTAAACATACTAACATCAACTTAGTAACATTATAATGAACTTATAGTGTTATGTATAATGTAATGTTCATTCCATAAAATTGTAATATGGGAACTCAAAATTGTGTTTGGTTGATGTTACTAAAAATGATGTTATTGAGATTTAGTTAAGAAATTAGTGTTATTAAGCTAATGTTACTATGTTAACATCAGCTAATTAGGTGACACTATTCATGTTACTTTTGCACATAATACTTGATAATTGTTATATATCCATTACGTTTGGTGATTTTGTATCATGTTACTATATGCTAGTTAGAATATTGATAATATAACGTCATACTACAATGCTACCATATGCTTGTATTATATTATTATTGAATTTGAATTGTTAAGAAATCTTGTGATTTGAATTTTACTTAATATATCAATGATTTATTCGTACATCAAACTTTCATATTTAATTATCAAATTATATACATTAAATATAAAACTTCTGTTAATTATCAGAATATTTATTAAATAGTTTTCATATATAACTCAATCGACAGTTTTCATATATAGTTCAATGATCTAACATATGTGACTTTCTATAACTATCAGACGTTGTTTGTTGCTATTCTATAGGGTAGGAGTAGTAAACTTGACAAAAAACGAACTTAAAACCAAATAAGTTTTCTTGTCGGACTTATCTCCATATAAAATCCATATAAGGGGTCCGACCTCTAAATTTCTCCTTTTTAGACCCAATTCACGGGATGGGCCTCACATGAGACTCGGCCCGAAGCATTTGCTCAGGCCAGGCCCTTTTCCACGAAGCTCGTCCAGGCTGTCATGCCGAATCTTCGGCCATGTAAAGTAAAGAGTAACGGGTACTTTAATGGCGATACAGGTTAATTATAGTGAAGGTCTCAAAATATAAAATTTATTTTATTTTAATTATATTGTTTTCATTTCTAAAGTTTTTAATATATTTTTATGAGATTTTTCAAACAGACAAATGTAAAAATTATTAATATTTTTTGATCATAAATTTCTCATATGATACTTAACCATTAACAAAAAAATAATTTGGATAATTCTTGATTAAAATTTCAATAGCTCATGACAAAAAATGTGTAATTTGAGTAATTTTTGGACCAAAATTTAGATAAAAATTTAGTTAAGAGTTATCTAAATAATTTTTGCTTATTTTTAATTATCACATGATATTTGTGATAAAAAAATATTAGTAATTTAGACATAAAAACAAAAAATATAATTAAAAATATTAAAAATTCAAATATGACGAAAAAATTTCAACCACATCTCTTCTAATTTACCATATCTTCAAGGACACCCTTTTTATTTTCGAAATCTTCAATGACACCCCCTGTCAGATTAAAAATATTAACTAGAATATAATTTTATTAAATTGTCCATGATATATTTGAACACAATTTTTGTCCACACTCCCTTTAAATAAGCATATCTTCAATGAGACCTCATCCAGATAAGTATGTCTTAAATGAGACTCCTTCTGGTTTCTAATTTTTTTTACGTATTAAAATTTAAGAAGCTTAAAATTTGATTCAAGCTAATTAAAATTTTTTTTTTTTTACGAATTAAAATTTTATTTGAGCCAATTAAAAATTATTTTTAATCGACTCAAATCAAATTTTAATCAATTCACATTGAATTGTAATCAGTCCAAATTTTAATACATAAAAAAATATAAATTTTAATCGACTCGAAAGAGAATTTTAATCGATGCTAACAACTTAGGTAGAGTTCAAATCGACTCAAATTTTAATATGTAAAAAATAAATTTTAATAGGCTTAAATTTTTTTAAAAATTTACGAATTAGCAAATGACAAATTAGTATTTATTAACAAATTATTTACTAAAATTTTTATTTACGATTTTTTTTTAAAATTTTAACAGCTCGAATTTTAATAAAATTTTATGTGAAAAAATTACATGAAGTTTATGTAGGGGTATTTTTGGTATTTTAAATAAATTTTTATTTGTTAGAAATGGTAGTTTAATGGTATGAGGTGTTAGAAATGTTTAAATTAAACCAAAAGGGGTGTCTATGATGTTTTTGATAAGAAAAGAGATATTTTTAAAGATATAATAAATTAGGAGCAGTGTGACTGAAATTTTATTGACAAATCCTATACTTTGGACATTTTTCGCGCAATTAACCCTTTCCCTTTGCATAATTACAAAACCAATATGTCGGTTAGTCGAATAATAAAAGGAGAGGACTACAGTACATCCAAGAGAATTTTTGGTACTATATTGAAAATTCTATATTTGTGAAAATAATTACAATTTAAGTGGTATGGTTACTAAATTTATGAATTATTTACAACTTCACCGGTTGGTAGGTAAGACAAGATATTAAAATTCTTTTTGCAAATATTTACAATTTTAGTGAATTGTTTAACAAATTTGTCATGTCATTTCAATGTCTTGTTTGGCCTACCAACCGGTGAAGTCGTAAATAATCCATAAAATTAGGAAATATCCTATTAAAGTTATAATTATTTCCACATATTTGAAATTTTCGGTACGATACCAACTATTCCCTTGGATGTACATAAAAAGACAAACGCGCTAGTTCCATTTTTGAAACTGTTGAATGTTGAAATACGCGGGGCAGTACTAAATCGTGTATTCCCGCTTCCGTTTAGAAAAGTCTCACAGACCCCTTTCACAAGGATCTCTGATCGGAGTCTGAATCGAAGCACAGACCGGAAATGGCGATGGCTGGTTTGTACAGGCGAATACTCCCTTCGCCTCCTGCTATAGATTTCGCTTCTTCCGAGGGAAAGGTCATTTTCTTCTCTGTCTTTCTCTTCTCTTTTTAAGATTCTGTCAGATTTTGGTTCAATATTAGGGTTTAATGTGTTCGAGTTTTGACCGTCTGTTCGAGCAATATTTTCTTAGTTGTTGTGGTTTTTATGGTTCTTTGGGTGCATTTTTCATTTTTTTTTCCTTGTTTCTTAATTGTATTATCACCTCTGTTCTATTTATGATGTACAATTTTGATTAAAGCCTTTTCAAATTAGGGTTTATAATCTGAATTTGTTGTAATCTTTCTGATGCCTATATTTTTCTCCTTGATATTCTCCTTTATAGTCTTATCTGATCGATATTGTCTCAGTTGCGGTGATCCTTAATGGATCTTTTGGTACTTTTTCTTTCCTTGTTTGTTTCTGGACTGATTTTTTTGTGTACGTGTTCTTTATTGCCGTGATAAGCAATCAGTAATGTCTGATTTGATGCTAGAAATAGTTGACGGGTTTTTTGTAACTATGTGGCGAAGTTGGCATGATAAGATGCCTCTAGCTCTTGCCAAATATTCAATCTTGATATCTTTTTGAAGAAATTCATTTCCTACCTCACTGTGTGTTTGTAATGTTGGGTAGAATAAACTGCTTTCAGAAAATATTACTGGGAATATTTGTGGAAACTATAAAACATGGAATTAATTTGTAGCAACCTTTTAAAATTTGCTTATTAGATTGTTGTGGGTTCATTTCTATTTTGTGAATCTGTTAGTTTCAGTATTTTTTTAGGTTTTTATCATTTGTAATTCTGCTGGTGTCCACAGCATATAGGCTTTAAAATATGTGACTTGAACAATTAGTTGTTGCTGTGAGGAGTTGATTTTAAATGCAGTATATTTCCAAGTTGGTGCAACAACAATGCTTCAAAATTATCACCACATTGGTTTCTTCTCGTGTTTTGTGTTAAAATATAATAGTTTTTTTATTTATCTTGGATTCTTGTCCACATGTTTAAAGAAACAAAAGGTTAACAATTTAGAAATTTATCTTTTCATATCATTGTATGTACGTCCCTTGAATGAGCAGAGTTTAGATGCATTCTGATAGTAGTTGAATCATGCTATTCTTGTTAGGCATTCTTGAAACAAAATATTCATAACTCCTTAACCTCAGTAGCTTAGTCTCAGATGCCTCCCATTTTATTGAATTCCATCATTCAAGATGGTGGACGATACAAGGCAGCTGGCTTGATGCTCTGTTGAGTTGAGTGGAATGAAATGTTTGATTTAGCAAGTTTATAGTAATTCCATTGTTTTTGGCACGTGTACATTTGGAAGTGAAAGTGTTAGATATGGATGTCCTTGCAACTCATTTTGGATAAAAGAGATTAAATCAGTACCTCACTGGTCAGCGGCCACAGTCTCACAGAATTTGAGACTTTTGAGTGTAGCCAATGGCCTCTTCGATTGAAAGCCTGCTCCAAAAGTAATATGTATCTATATCACATGTGTTTGGTTGTTTGGTGTGATGTAAAGATGCTTTTTACTATAAAAACTTGTTTCTCTTTTAATCTTGGTTAGGTTTTTAAAGCCATTAATCTACTTGCTTTTTACTGGAATTGCAGCAACTTTTCATGGAAGCCATCCAAAGTGGAACAATGGAAGGTTTTTTCAAGTTGATATCTTATTTTCAGACACAATCTGAGCCTGCATATTGTGGGTTAGCCAGCCTTTCCATGGTCTTGAATGCTCTTGCTATTGATCCGGGTAGAAAATGGAAAGGTAACTCTTAATTTATCCGGTACAGTAGTGTTCAATGAAGATGTAGGCTTTAAGCTTTTTCCAACTAGTAATTAAATTTAATTCCATCTATTTGTAGTCAGGCCATCCCACATCGTTCATCTTGCTGATATTTTCTTGCTTTTCATGTTCTCTATCCACGGTATTCTTGTTAATTTTTTGAAAGTTCTGTCCTTTGAAGAGGTTTCTATTGCTTCATTTGGAAGACATCTGATTTATTCACTTGCCAAACTATAACTGTGTTGTCTCCCAAAAATAAGTCTTTGATTATAAAATATGATCCATTTTCTTTTCAAGGATATCTAAATGCAGTTTGATAATGAAACAGTCGCCAATTATAAATATGTTTTTGATTCATGGTGCCTACTTTGATGCCAGAAGGTTTTAATGACAATGTGCCATGTGATGCAGCAGCATGACAGTACTAATGTTCAGCATCATAGTGCAATCACTTGCCTGCATAACACCTGTTGTAGACATGGCAGCCAAAAAATCTGAAAAACAAAACAGTATATAACAAAAGTTTGCCCTTGAGTCCTTCTTGACATGCCTTGTTTGTGCCTAATTTTGCTTTGTGCTATGAAGTGTTAACAGAACCTAGTCTGAGTTTTGTGCGATAAGCCTCCATATGCCTCTCTGACAATCCACTTCATTTATCTTAACTCTGGAGGGTATGTCATGAACAAAATAATAATGTCACCTTTTCCATTGCTTCTACATTGAGGCAGAAGTGGGGCAAACAAACAACCCTTCAGGCCAGCATAAGTTTACCGTGTGATTAAAGATCTGCAGCAGCACTTGAACAGGTGGATTTGTCTTTTTGCAATTAGCTATCAACAGCATTTGAGGAAAGGATTGTCGACCATGCCTTTCTTTTTTCTTTTTTTCTGCTCTGTTCAATAGGTACTATGCCCTTTTGTGATAGGTAGAATATTAGATACTTGAAATGATTGAATAGTCTAATTAATTTTCTTGTTTGGCAAAGTGGAGATTGTTCTGGGCATAATGTGCAAGAATCTCATGTTGCAACATGGGATGGAGAACCAGAAAAATTCTTTCCAGAATCCCTTTTTAGATCCAAGTAATGTATAAGTTTCAAAAAGGAATTTTGGACGTTATCCATAGGTTGAAGGTTATTCCTGATTGAATGTTGCTCGCGTTAATCGCATAATCAAGAACAATTATCATTAACTTTGACGTGTAATCTTGGGTGCACTGTTGACTCCATTCATCTGGTTCATATGACTAAGTTTCACGGGTCCTTTTGCTGGCGTGGCTTCTTGTGCTCGGTAGTCAACTTGATCTGACAATTTGCATTGTTGTTTCTTCACAAGCTGGACATGAGATGGGGGCTGCTACTGTTTTCCTTGTGTGAATCACAATTATTAAGGCATTTTATGTAGTTGTAGGCATGTTGTATTGGTGTTCTATTTAGCAGCCCTACTTGTTCTGTGAAGGATTGGGACTTTAAGTTTCCTGGGACCTGGACGAGACTATCGCTACTCAGGCGGTGTGAATGGAGGACTGAGCAGTCCTTAATTTATTCTATGTAAACTTGTTTGATCCAAATCTCTAAAGGATTATTGAAGGTTTTTTTCACATGTTTCGTTGCGTTTAGTGCTTAATTATAGTGGGCTCACCAGTAACTGTTAACTTGAGTTGCCTGGGATGTGTATGCGTGCATATTACTTCTTAGGAGGCTGCCCATTTTGTATAGGTGAAGAGCTTTTTCTCTTGTTCTGGACACCTTAACAAAATTTTAAACCTTGAATTTTGTTTCTTGCCTTTTTTAATACACGACTTTGAGATTTTTCTATTTACCAAATATGTGTCTTGTTCTGACAACACTTTCTCTGCAGGGCCTTGGAGATGGTTTGATGAGTCTATGTTGGACTGTTGTGAGCCTTTGGAAAAGGTTAAAGCTCAAGGCATCTCCTTTGGGAGGGTTGTATGTTTGGCTCACTGTGCAGGAGCGAAAGTTGAAGCTTTTCGCACAAATCAGAGCACCATTGATGACTTTCGTAAGTATGTTGTCGCATGTTCTACTTTGGATGATTGTCATGTGATATCATCATATCATAGAGGGGCTTTTAAACAGGTAATTACCAGGCCTGGCTGCTTTGCTTGTTTTGGTTTTTCTATTTACTTTCAACATTTTATTGTTACCTATGTTATAGGCTTGCACTGTTGAGGTATAGTGTGTAGCCCCTTCCATCTCATTGAGTTCAAGAATTTGGAAATGCAGTGAGCTTTATGACACTTTGTTATTAGTACATAGGTGTATTTTGCTGCTACAGCTGGTAACATCACCACTGCATAGTGTGTCCCATCATCCATGTCACAAGTTGCAGTGAGCTGAACTGTGTTGGAGTAGGTGCATTGCATGTTTAGGTACTTAGATCAAACTGCTTCCAACTTTGCAGATTGGATGTTGGTTGATGGGTCATTTTGTAACTCTTAGTTGGAGGGCTAGGTGATTTGAATGGATATGGATTGATCTCAAGTCACTGATTTTTTATGCTGTGCAAGTTTGTTGAATTGGGTGAAGTAGGGTATCAATTTCTGGGGGAACTCATATTATTGGTTAATGGGGATTGTATTGAAGTATAGTTTAACTAATTTTATTTTCTCATTGAATTATTTTTATTAGTTAAGGGGGATCGTCTCTAAGACCCATTTTTTTGAATTTGAAATAGGCTTTTTTATTTTTCCAATGTCTAGAAATTGCTTAGTTTTTATGTCTCTGTTCCTTGTCCTCGAATTGTGGAATTTCCAATGGAAAAAGGAGAATACCCTTTGAACGAGTTGGCCTACCTGATTCTCCTCTCAGTTTAGAAGGTGCTTTACTGGATGTCTGCAATATTATCTAAGTATAATTATTCTTCTTTTTGTCTTTTAGCTTTTCAATGCACCAGCCATGCCCTTGACCAGGGGATATTAACAATACTTCTCTTTTTTGCTCGTCTGAGTATCTTGAGCTCTGGTAGTTCTATCAGATTTGTCCCATTTATTAGGAGGTGTCAAAGAATTAATTGAAGTTTTGTTCTCATTCATTCTGCAGACAGGAACTGGTCATTTTTCACCTATTGGAGGTTATCATGCTGGAAGGGATATGGCACTGATTTTAGATGTCGCTCGCTTTAAGTATCCACCTCATTGGGTTCCACTTGCCCTTCTTTGGGAAGCAATGGATACTCTTGATGAAGCAACTGGACTAAGTAGAGGGTACGTGCTTCTGCATGCTTCTCATTGTTGAATATAATGTTAGCATCTGATGATAGTGGATATCTTGCTTGAAGCTCTTCAACTAGTTAGGATACTACTACTCGTGTGACCATTGATTGTTTTTATGACCTTTTCTCCTTCATAAGATGCTTAGTCTCTTTTCTTGGGCACCGTTAGTGTAAATAGTGTTTAGCAAAGTTTGACAAAGTTGCTGAAAACAAATCATGCACACTGAAGCCATTGACTAGAAGACAATTTATTACCCAGTAATACTGTGAACTAATAGAGAGATCTAGTTGACTGAGATTTACTGATGCTGACATCTGTATAGAATTGTCAAATGCTATGGAAATAATGGCTGAGGACACGATAGCCTCTTTTAACCTGTTGGATTAACATTTGCTGAAGTAAACTAAGCATATACAACTACTCTACCTCCATGCCCATTAGAGTTAAAAAGTAAATTAAGTTTAAGGCACACTTGAAATTTATGTGCTGTGGTCCTTTACAATTTAGTCTTCTTATAGTGTAGTGAATGCTGTTGTTCCCTTTGTCCTGCATTGCAGTTGAGTATTCCCTTCCATTTGTATTTTACTGTTCTTCCTTTTTATTATATTTGTTGGATATTGTTTTTAGTATATGTAAGTGTTTTGATATTTTTCCAGGTTCATGCTAATATCTAGGCTTCACAGAGAACCAGCGCTGCTGTATACCCTGGTATGATTTAAGTGATTGGTATAATAGTGTCAAAACTCTGCTTAAACTGCATAAGCATATTGCAGTACTGATATCTGATTGTCATATTTTCTCATTTTTGTCAACTTGCAAAAGATGTGTAATTTCTTTGAAGGAAACAAGCAATGTGGCAGTTTCGAAATTTTCTAGAACTTTTTTTTTCCCTGTATGCCATTTTTTAAAAGGGCTCTTATTGGTCTTCATGGTTGTGATGGTACTAGGTAGTTTTCATTCTGGACTAGGTTCATCCAAAGATAGTATTTTAAGTGGGTGAGTGGTAGAGCAACTCCGGCTTGCGGAGCAGCAGGAGGCAAGTAAGCAAACCACTGTTAAGCTCAATCAACATGTTAACATTTGCTGCTGTAATGAGTAATATACTAGTAACTTAAAAATCTATATTAGTTGATATGTTTTTGGGGGATCTAATTAGTTTCATGGTATATAATCAAGAATCATCAAGAATTGATTGGTAATTGTCAAAAATGCTACCTATTGGGGAAAATAATTTTTAGTTTGCTAATGAAATCCTTAAATTGTTTGGATTCATGAAGTGAGCTGCCTATCTCATCATCCCCCACTCCACCCCACCCCCAAATGACATAAAGGGCAATAGGTTTTTTATGCATAAAATTTGCCATTGTATAGTTAATACGAAAAAGTAAACAATGCCTTTGAAATGTTTAAATGCCCTTCTTTCTTTCAAAGTAGTTATTTTCATGCATTTGACGAAGTTTTAAGGGTATTAGATTTTGGAGAAATCTAAAATAATTCTATTAGTTTGGTAGATTTTGAGGGTGGGTCTTGGCCTAGGAAGCACAAATACGGATACTGGTGTTGTATCTGATACGATATGGATATGGGGATACGTCAAAGTTCAAAAATATAGGACACGGATACGGCATTGTAACATGGGCGTCAAGGATTCGTGTCAGGGAAAACAAGCTTTCCGCATACAAGGGTAAAACTTCGTATATCAGACTCTGCAGTTAGGAGCCTTGGGCACTGAACTACCTTTTTGGTTAGTTGGTACGTTTTAAGTCTACACTCAATGGAGGGTTGATGGCAAATTATTTAGGGTTGAAAGGTGCAAAGGGAGTAAAGTGCTCGAAGTGTCTTCCAATAGTTGCTTCCTTGAAGATATTTTTTGTTATTTTAGAAAAAAATTGGTATGTATAATAGTTTGCAGTTAGTTTTGTTTATACAATTCCTTAGGAAAAAATCATGCTTATTGGAAGAATTAGCAATAGCATTATTCACATATCTTCTTGCCATGTTGGTTTATATTTGTTTCACGACCTATCTGGTGGGGAATTGGCTGCTCTTCATGGAGTTAGTTTATGTTTAAAGTTTCAGCCCCCACTCACATTCAACTGTTTTAATTCAGAAAAATCTTTTAAACTGACAAATTGAGCTTGGTAGATCAGTTGCTCGAATAGTCTAGTCCAAATGGTTATGTTTTAGAGTTGATATGCACAGTACTTTTTTAAGCATTCTGAAGTGGCTATTTTATCTCTTTTTTCTGCTGTTGGTTGCAAAGTTAGTTCACATTTTACCACAAAGTTATGTTCCACACTGTTATTGGTTCTGTCCTTGAGATGGAACCTAGATTCCAATACCTTTGCTCACAGCAACTAATGACATATCCATTGGATAATTTGGTTTTGCACATGCCACACATTTGAACATCTTCTAGAATCAAAGGACCTAACTTTGTCCTGTACATGGTACATCCCAATTTTTTCTGGTTTGGGAATTTCTATCTGTGGTCTTTATTTGGTTTTTGGAGCTCATTAAATGGGTTTGCATGACTTTCTTTGTTTTATTAAAGAAACTTCAATGTAAAGGACTTTGTTTCACCTTTGCAGAGTTGTAAAAATGAGAGTTGGGTCAATACTGCAAAGTTTTTGGTGGATGATGTTCCCGTTCTATTGAGTTCGGAGGATGTAAAGGACATCAAGGGTGTTCTATCTGTCATTTTCACTGCCCCGGCGTCAAATTTTGCAGAATTCATCCAGTGGGTAGCAGAAGTTCGGAGACAAGAAGACAGTGGTCAGAGTCTAAGTGATGAAGAGAAAGGAAGACTTGCCATTAAGGTACCTACATTGAAGGGAAAAAAGATGCTCACCGTCAAATTTTTTTGCTACTTCTCCCTGTTTGGACTCGGATGAATATGCATTAATTCTACACATTATGCTCCTTCTGAATTTATGGATCCCTACTTCTCATTTTGCAGGAACAGGTATTACAACAAGTACAGGAGACCAGTCTTTATAAGCATGTGACTGAGTTCTTAAGTTCAGAAAGGTCATGTTGCCGAACCATAACAACCAGGAATAATGAGAATACACTATCTGATATTGCAGCAAGTGTCTGTAGCCAGGGAGCAGGGTTTTTAGCAGGAAGATCTGGATCCTCTGATAGGTTCTGCTGTCAGGAAACATGTGTGAAATGTCTGAAGGCAAATGGAGACAAACCTGTCACAGTGGTGTCTGGAAGGGTGGTCAATGGTAATGGTGAGCAAGGGGTGGATGTGCTAGTCCCTTCATCTGAAATAAAGCTGAGTTGCAGTGGGCAAGGCCCAAGTGGTTGCATTGGGATGCACCCGGCGAACAATGATGTACTGACTGCACTCTTATTGGCCTTGCCACCACAAACGTGGTCTGGCATCAAAGAGGAGAAGCTGCTTCAGGAAATGCATAATCTTGTTTCAACGGAGAACCTTCCTACTCTGCTTCAAGAAGAGGTACTTATTTCACATTTGCATTTGTTTTCTGTCTTATATTTTAGGGAATATGTTTATGTAAAGGGAAAAATGACTTGCTCATTTGCTTCTCGATACGATTTCTTTATTTAATTTTTTTAATTTTGAACCACTATTTCCTTCTGAAATGAGAAATGTAAATTTGGGGATACCTTATCATAGATAAACTGGTATCTCTTTATTGACTTGTTCCTCCTAAAAATTATGTCCATGGTACTGTGACAGATCGAATGTGGGCATCTTGCTAAGGAATTGGAAATTGGACACCTAATGTTTTGTCTTCTGTGACCTTTTTCTTTTCAAAGTTTTGGGCTGCTTATGATATATATCTTATGTACTTTATATTCCAGATTTCTGTTGGTGGTTCTAAAACTTAACTGTGCACTACTGTTTGTAGATACCTCCTCCTCCCCCCTTGCATGATACATATTTTTGTTTAGAAGTATATGTACATGCGTTTATTTTTATTTTTTTATGTTGACTTGATATTTTTATATGGTAGATTCTCATGATGATTAATGGATATGACAGATTTTGCACTTGCGAGCTCAGCTCCATTTTCTGAAGAGATGCAAAGATAATAAGGTAGAGGACGATCTTGGTGCTCCCATCTTTTAGCGTTGTCCTCATTTTTGTTGTTGACATTGATTCTGTTGTAACTGAAGAGTGTTCTCACCCCATTGTCCACGTACAAACATTTAACACTGAAAAATTTAGATTCACACTGCAAAAGGCTATTTATTGCCCTTTTTAGGTCATGTATCAAGAAGCAGGGGTTGTCTTGCAGAGATCAAGATCTTTTAGTGAAGAGGCAAGAGTTGTCTTCCGAAGGTCAATGCTCTCTTCAAAGTGGAACCATGTCATTAGGGTTGATAATGTGATGACTTATTCAGGTAACCTACCGTTACTGGGAAGGCGAGGTATTTTTACTCTTGGTACAGGTGGGCTTGTGAAGGAATACGTAAAGCCAACTCAATGTTGGAGTGGGATCGGCTCTCAGACCACCTGTCCCAAATTTGCCTTGCAGACCTCGTCTTTAAGACACCCCAGTTATGTTCACCCTCTGTCAGTCTAGGACTCAAGGCTGCCTGACCTGGTAAAGGTATGGACTTGGGATTTTTGAATTGTTTACTTCCTGCGGTTGTTGGATCTTCTTCTCTTTGACTCGCCAAATTGAAAGTTTTCACAATACAGGTATTTTCACATTCTTTTTCTTGGCCATATAAGCTTGTCTTGGAACTTGATATTATGTAAAAAACACAAATTATGAACATAATTATTGGAATAATAATATATATTGGGGAACAGCTGCCGTGGCTTTCGGCAAATTAAACACTTATTAGGAGCTGCCACATTAGCCTCCTAAATGATCATAGTGAGATTCTTGTTTTGATGTTGAAATAAGAGCATCTCTAATAGTATTCTCTAAACATAGAGTATTTTTTTTTTTTTGAATTAAAGAGCATATTTGATAAAATTTTAAAATAGTGTAAAATATTTTTGACAATTTTAATGGACTCTCTATTCTAATAGAAAAATATTCTTATAGCTAATAACATTTAATGACGGATGTATATGTATCATATTATTTTTTTTTTATTTCTCTATGGTTTCGACTACAAATAACTTATCTATTTAATGTTTAAAATTATGCATATTATTTTTTTGCTCTTATGTACCAAAGTGAAATAGTTATTTTTATCATTTAAGTTAACGGAGAGTGTTTTACACGTTCAAAATATGTTGTGGACTTTGTTTCTCTCAAAAAGAATACTACGTGTTTAAAATATCTTTTATAATATATGGTTTAATAGTCAAATAGGTAGGACATCAGTATTAGATTAAAAACATAAGTGATTTTTGGGCTCAGATTTAAACTTCACTTGCAGGGTTGGCTCAACATTATGGGAAAAAAAGCATGGGTTTTAGCCTTTAGGCTCCAAAGTTTTAGAAGGTCTCATAACTTTAGGTATATCAATATCTTATAAAAAAAATTAAATCCATTAAATTTTAAGTCCTACAAAAAAATGTCCCAAAAAATTAAATTCAATCAAAATTTTTATTTAAATAATTTGGGTTTATAATCTAATCTATAACATTAAAAATATAAAAATAAAAAAAATATTCAAAAGTGAACTCATATTTACTCATTTTCTCTCTCATGATAAAAAAAATAAAAGTTAAAATTAAGCATTCTCTCTCTTCTCTTCGGTAAAAAATAAAAATAAAAGTTGAAATTTTTTTCTCGACAACATTAACACATTTTTTTTTGTCTCCCTCTTAGAAAATAAAAAAGAATTTAATGTTTTTGTTTTAGGTCTTAAATTGGTTGAACTGTTCTTGCTCATTTGTGGAAAAAAGAGACTTGGCATGTTTGATTGAAATGTGTTAATTTGTTATCATGTTGTATTAGTTTTTTTTTTTTGATAAGCTAAAAAAAGGGTAGAGGTAAATGATAGCACTTAGAGATTACTTTTATAGGTCCTCACTGGTAGGATTATGACGTCTCTGACTGTACTCGTTATTGTTCTCAGGAATGAAGATTAGCATAACAGTCAACCACTGAGTCTCAATTTAGACTCCAAAGCTCGAATTTCCAACTTCAGAGTGAAAAACTCAGCCAGTATTCTATTAGACCACAAATATTGGACCATCCCATTTGGTGGTTGTTTCATTAATTTTATGGTCAATAGTAAATTAGATGAAAAATATGATTTTAAAAGGTGTGGGTATTATGATAACTATAAGGGGATAATGCCCTTACATTTAAATTTCAAGTAGACATGGTGTTTCTAGATATAACCATTGGGGGTATAAAATAATCAATCCTTAGAATACAGAGTGAGTTGTGCTTTCTAAATGTAGATAGTTAAATAAGGTTATCTATTTGAACTAGTCTACATGGAAAACTTATTGGAGTTTGATTTTTTGTGGTTAACTCTCTAAAATATAGTTGTATGGAAATAGAGAGGTTATTGGAGATCTTCTAACATTAGTCTTTTTCTTGGTTATGCATATCTTCAATGGGTTATTGGAGTTGCATAGGTTTTAGGGCCCAAATTTTTAAAAGGCTCCATAATTTTAGGTACATCACTAGCTTACAAAAAAAATTAAATCCATTAAATATTAAACTCTACAAAAAAGTTTCAAAAAATTAAAGAGTAATTTGGAAGTCGGTACAAAAATTTAGACTTATTTGAGCAAAATTATATTAAGAAGACTTATTTAGTTCTAAGTTCATTTATTTTAAAAAGACTAAAAGGTTATGAGTAATGCTATTGGAACATAATTTATGGACATAATTTGATGACATAATGAGTTGTTACTAATGATATAATAATAAATTCATTAATACTACAATGTGATCCATCATTAAATACATTTCACTATCATTTCATTTGTGATAATTCATTATGTCTCTAAATTATGTTTTTCAATTATGTCCCAATAGCATTAGTGAAAGGGTATTTATTATTCCATTACTCTCTCTCTCTTCATTATGCTCTCACTCTCTCTTCCCTATTTTCTCTCTATTTTTTTCTCTCTCTCTTTCTCTAACATTAATAATTTATTTATTTTTAAATCTATAAATATTTGATTTAATTTTTTCATCTCTTTCTCTTATTTTCTTTCTCTCCTTATATCAATGTTATAATAACACAATTATACTAATAAGTTATACCAATTAGTTATAATTATTATATAAAACATCAAATAGTTACTTTTGTGTTCTAATAAACTAAATAGTTACACTAAATAATTATTCGAAATTACAACATCAATTCAATTTGTCATTTAATTATTTATATAAATCAAAGAGTTATACCATTTAGTATGATGACATGATTACAACAATTATATACACCAAATTGGGTTTATTATTATACAAAATACTTTACCATGATACTAAATTTGGTATATATAATTAGTGTATTGATGTCGCGATACTAAATGATGTAACTATTTAGTTTATGTAAATAATCGAATGATAAATTGGGTTGGTGTTATAATTTTGTGTAATTATTTGGTATATTATAAGACAATTGTAACTGTTTGGTATAACTGATTAATGTAATTATATTGTTGTAATGTAGATATAAGTAGAGAGAGAAAATAGAGAGAGAGAGAGAGAAATGGTTAGAGAAAATAGGGGGAGAGATAAAAAAAATATATCAAATCTTTGCATATTTGAAAAGAAAATAAATTATCAATGATAGAGAGAGAGATAGAAGATAAGGGAGAAATGAGGAAAGTAAACGGGAGAGAGAGAAATTAGGGGAGATAGTCTAATGAAATCTTTACATATTTGATTAGATATACAACTGTCAATCAAAAATGCATAATTGAAGAGAGGGTATTTAGGTAAAAAAGTTTTAATTTCATTTGAATTTTGTACTTAAACACAATATGTTTTATTAAAATTGAACTCAATAGAGTAAATAACTTATTCATACAATTTTACTCAAATAAGTCTTAAAATTTGTACCCACACCAAAAAAAATCCAAAATTAAATTTGATTAAAAATTTTATTGTAATAATTTGGGCCTATAATTCAATTCATAACATTAAAAATTTAGAAATTAAAAAAATACTCAAAAGTTAACTCATATTTATTCTCACTCTCTCTCTCTCTCTCCGATAAAAAAAAGTTGAATTAAATACTCTTTTCCTCTCTTTGGTAAAATACAAAAATAAAAATTGAAATATCTTTCTCGACAATATTAACACATATTTATTTTATCTTCCTCTTACATAAAAAATTAAAAATAAATCAATTTTTTTAAAAAAATAATATTAAAAATAAAAAAAATTGTCATTTAATGTTTCTGCTTTAGTCCTTAAATTGGTTTGAACTACTCCTGCTCATTGTGGGAAAAAACGACTTGATATTTTTGATTGAAATATGTTAATTTGTTACCATGTTGTATTAGTTTTTTTTTATAAGCTAAAAAAAGGGTGAGGCAAAGGATAACACTCAGTTTACTCTGATAGGTCTTCACTGGTGGTATCATGAGATTTTGACCATGCTTGTTATTGCTCTCAGGAAAGAAGGCTAGTATAGCGGCTAGTATAGCAGTTAACCATTGAATTCTAATATGAACTCTAAGGGTCGAACCTTTAACATCAGGGTGAGAAGTTCAACTTGTATTTCATTAGACCTCAAATATTGGACCACTCCATTTGGTGGTTTTTCTATAGTTTTATGGTCAATAGTAAATTCGACGAAAAAATATGATTTTGAAAAGGTGTAATACACCAAATTTTTGAAATATATATATTACTTAGTTTAGGTCAATTTGTGATATTATTTTTGAAAAGGAATATTAGTGTAATTAATGAATGAGAAATTGTAGAATTATTGTATGGTTTCTTTTATTTTGTATTGACATATATGTAGCCAGTTAAAATAGGGCAAAATAAAAAAAGGTGGGATAAAAGTGTGATTAAAATGAGTTCTCTTGTTACTCTAGAAGTCTATTGACATATAAACATATATATATTTTCTTCTCAATATCTACACAAACGTTAGAACAAGAGAAAGGAGGGGAGAGGCGAGGCTAGGGTTTTGAGTAAAGAAAAAGGAAGAGAAATAAGGAGATTTAGAGAAGAAGGAAGAAAACTAGAAGATTTGATCATCAAGGTTAGTTTTCAGATTGAAATTTAATTTTATATTTAATTATTATATATATATATATATATATATATATATATATATATATATATATATATATATATATATATATATTCATGGTGAAGAATAGTGATTGATGTATAAATGGGTTTTATTAGAAGTTGTTAATTTAAGTTTTTGAGACCTAATATAGATTTATTGTTTTTAAGGCCTTTAAAGAATTTGTTTAATGTCTTACAAAGCAAAAAGAAAACAAAGGGGAAAAGAATACTAGTTCAGGTTCTTCTTCCGGAAGAAGAAGAAACTCCCCTTTATTTGGTAAGTTGCAAGAACAAAATTTTGGAAAATTTATGGCAAGCTCGGAAACAGAAAATTTGTTTTTCAATGAAATTATATTTTAGCCCCAAAATTTTTAAAAATTATGATTTAACCGTAAAACTTTTAAAAAAATTTCTAAAC